ATATATCAGAACCTAAAATGAACTTCAATAACTTTCCGAATAAAATTCTCAATTGTTACCTTTTAAAAGTAATAATTTAGAAGGTTACTGGATTACTTCAACATCTTCCCAACGATACCTTATAGGTAGATGAAGAAGGACCCTTAACTTTCACATATATCTTTCAATAAAAATATATTCGATCTTTCCACTGCACAGAGTACTTTAAGAGCTTTCCAATGATGACCAGCTCGAATCGTTTAGGTGGCCAATGAAAAACTACCGAAAATAGGAAGGTGAATAACCTCTGATCCGAATTAAACCTTAATACATGGCCAATGATCTTTATTCTTGGGTCAATGAGTTTTAATCCGATTTAACCTTTACAAGAGGACAATGAATATTAATACGGTGACAGTGACCTTTAAATCGAAGTATGTCCCAATTCGTGGTGAATTACTATTATTGTCATGTTACCACTGTTTCAAAACCTTGCCTTTATGATCGTCGAATTATTGCGGGGGGTAGATTATAAAAAAAGGGTCCGTTGATTTTTCAAGAAAGGTACAAATATATCGAATCTAAAAATAATTATAATTTATTATATTTTTTGGTCACCGTCGGATGCAGCAGACACACAGCCAAATGGTTTATGAGTGGTGGTTAATTATAAATGACGTGATTATATGAAGTGACTAGCATATATCCGCTAGCAGGGACGTACGCAGGGGGGCGGCCCGGGGGGCCCGGGCCCCCCCGAAATGAAAATTTTTCACAGTAAATGTATGTTTGCAACAGCGATTTTTTCATTTTGTACTACCGGGCCCCCCCCCCCCCCCCCCGAAATGAAATCCTGTGTACGTTGCTGTCCGCTAGTTGTACCAATGTCCAAAACTTCCTACATACCTCAATCCTACACCTTCGCAGTCATCCTAAATCCAAGTTTCAGGATTCCAACTTTATCGGTTGACCCACAATTCAAATTGTACCAAATTTAGTGCACAGTAGTACCAATTTCCAAAACTTCCTACATACTACAATTCTACACCTCCACAGCAATCCTAAATCAAAATTTCAGGATTCCAACTCTATCGGTTCACCCACAATTTAAATTGTACCAAATTTAGTGCACAGTAGTACCATTTTCCAAAACTTCATACATACCTCAATCCTACACACTCACAGTCATCCTATATACATGTTCTTCTTACCCCAAACCTACACCCCCACAGTGATACTAAATCCAAGACTCTGGATTCCATTTCTATCGCTTCACCCACAGTTTAAGTTGTACCAAATTTAGTACACAGTAGTGCGATTTTCCAAAACTTCCTACTAAACACAAACCTTCACCGCCAGAGTAATACTAAATCAAATTTTCAGGATTTCAACTCTATCGGTTCACCCACAATTTAAATTGTACCAAATATAGTACATGGTAGTACCAATTTCCAAAACTTTCTACATACCCTAATTGAACACCTCCACAGTGATCCTTAATCAATATAGTAGATAGTAGTACGAATTTCTAAAACATTCTACATACCCCAATCCTACCCCCCACACTGATTCTAAAACCAAGTTTCAGGATTCCGCCTCTATTGGTTCATCCACAATTCAAATTGTACTAAATTTAGTACATAGTAGTACCAATTTCCAAAACTTTCTACATACCCTAATTGTACACCTCCATAGTGATCCTTAATCAAAATTTCAGGATTCCAACTCTATCGGTTCACCCACAATTCAAAATGTACTAAATTTAGTACATAGTAGTACGAATTTCCAAAACTTCCTTCATACCCTAATTCTACACCACCACGGTGATCCTAAATCAAAATTTCAGGATTCCAACTCTATTGGTTCACCTAAAATTCTAATTGTACCAAATTTAGTCCCATTTAGTACCCATAAGTATTAATTTGTTGAACTGAATCCTGACCCTAATCCTACATCCCTACAATGATCCTAAGTCTGCTTTTCCACAGGCAGATTTTTATTTGGCAAATTTTTTGTTTTCTCTTTTGAAATTTTCGCTTGCTTTTCCATTAGCAAATTTTTCTTTGCCAAATTTGCGAATCAAAATACAAAAGAAAGGAAATTAAAGTCAAAAGTGTTTGCATTTTAAAGATTTTTTTATATTTTATTTACTTTTTATATATTTTATTATATAAATTGCCAAAATTAAAAATTAAATTTCACTTGCACAAATTAAAGCAACAGGTTTGTAAACAAAAGCCGGCTGTGTGTCAGTAAAGCGAATAGGTTCAAAAGGAAATGTCAACAAAATTGTTTTCAACGAACAGAGCAAAGCAGAATTTGCGTGTACGGCAAATTCTGAACAGGCAAATTTTTGTTTTTCTTCCTCGCACCCCTCTCTCCAACAAACTCAGTATTTGCCAAATAAAAATTTGCCTGTGTAAAAGCAGACTAACTCCAAACTTCATTGTTCCAGCTCTATCGGTTCATCCAAATCCAAATTGTACCAATTATAGTACGATTTAGTACTTTTGGTACACATAAGTAAAAAATTTCCAAAACTACGTACATATCCCGTACAGTGTAGGATATGTATCCCTACGTACATATCCTACACTCTGACGGTAATGTTAATTTCAATTTTCAGGATTCCAGCTCGAATTGTACCTCCAAATCAAATTTGTACCAAATATAGTACTTTTCGTATACATCGACCCTACTTCTCAACGTTAATTTACATTCCAAATTTCAAGTTTTTAGCTCAATCCATTCACTTGCTACGAAATTGTACCAAATTTAGCACATTTTCGTACCTTTCGGATACGAATTTTTAAAAACCCCCACCTCAAAATTCCTTAAGTCGATCGGTACATTTATATTGGGAAAATGTTATGATGTTATGTGATAGTAGCTTGTTCATGCTCCGAAAAACCGTGTTCCAATTTAAAGACATTTTAGTTGGGGAACATAAACTGGACTTTTTAAATGTATTTTTTATTCACCAGGAATTCGATATGTCAAATTATAGCCACTTTCATAAAAAAATTGGATGATATGGGATCTATACCATACCATAAGAGGCATTGATAATTGTTGTTGTTGAAAAGCATGTTCAAACGCCCCAAAATACCGAATAATTACCCTAATGTATATTTGTAATATTGTTCATTTTTGGTAGGGATATTTTCTACTCAATGCGAATCCAAAATATAAAATTACAGCTGATTTTGTTGAAACGCGTGTCCAAGCTCCCCAAAATACCGACATTTGGGATGTTACGCTATATGGGGTATTCCCTATCGGAAACATGGACCAACGTTGATCAATTTTAGTAGGGACATTATCTACTCAAAGATATTCCAAAATATGAAATTGCTCCCAAATTGGTTGAAAAACTTTCCAAATTCAAGCTTCCCAAAATACCGATGTTTGTGGTGTAGATTTATATGGAGGCTTCCCTAAATGGTTGTCCTATACTGATAATATTTAGTGGGAGGATTTATTATCATACCATAACCAAAAATACCAATTACAACCAATTATGTAGAAACATGTGTCCATAAAGTTTAAATGCAATAAGTCAATTTTTTGTAAAAATTGAAATTTTGTACACACTTCTTCAATAAGTAAAAATACATCGATTTAATAAAAAATCTACAATTATCTCATTTGTTGTTGTTTTGTGGCGGTGATTAAAGGCTCTAAGTCCAATTTATCACATGTCATGAGCTGGTTTTTCTCTCTTCTAGAAAATTTTAAAATATGGACTTATTGATAATTTTTCGTAGGCAAAATACTGCTGATTCTGTTTAAATACATGTCTAAAACTCTAAAAATACTGAATAATGTGGAGTACCATACAAATATTCGAATGCCTACGAAATATAGGGGCTATACCAAAACGTCGACCGATACGGCTTAAATGCACTTTACAGACACCTCTCAGAAAAGTTATGAGATTTTTACCATTCTGATACTGATTACGACAATATAAGTTTTTTCAGAGGAAAATCAATACTTTCCGATTTATGATCCGAACTTAAACAGATGTCCCTACTTTTTATTACATATCATTAATATTGCAATTCTGAAACGTTTAAAATTTTTACTAGAGATAGTCATAATGACTATGTTTTTATTTTTGGGATAACTTCATATGTCCGTCTGTAGGTGGAGTAAAAGATGTTCAAAGATACTTAATAAAAAGTGCTGACATTTCTAGAATATCTCGGAAACTACTGATTTCCAACCGAAAAAATGTATGTTGTTGTAATCAGTATTAGAAGGAATACATATGGTAAAAAAATTTCAAAATGTTCTAAGAGTTGTCCGTAAACTGAATTTTTTTCATTAAATATACAAAAATTTTACGCGATGGTACCTGAATTGCATTACGAAATAGTTACATCGTCTATATCACATCTTATCCCGACATTACAAGTCTGTCTTAAACTCCATTTCAAGTCGGCTCTTTATCGCGATTTCTTCTTTCAAAACTTATTCTTCGTTAGTCGACTTACATAACCCTAAAACAAATAAGGAAGACGATGGTGTAACAAAATCCAACAAAAACAAAAAGAAGAATATTGAAAATTTGAGATATTCAAAACAACTACCTGTTTTGGGCGAGAGTTTGCAAAATTGTTGGTGAGTAGTCGAAATCTTCAGAAAAAAGGCATAGAAATGCTAAAAATTCAATAAAGAAAAAATATTAATAAAAAAATCGAATAAAAAATGTCAATACCAATGTCAATACGACTTCAAAAATTTAATTGAATATCGTTTGTTTAATTATTTTATGTTTTCATGTTTTCGTTCTCTCCCTTGATTCGTCGACTGTGGCTTCAACATTCTATTCTGGCTTTGTTTTTGTCGTTGTCTCTGACATCCATCTTTACTTGCTGTTGCTGCTGCTTCATCACCATTATCCGCATCCAATACGACGATCGGCCATCATTATTGGTTTCTTGTTCGGCGATCAGCAGCAGAGCAGAAGTGGCAATATAATTTTTATTTGTTTTTTGGGCTGGTCTTTTTTCCAGTTTTTTTATTGTTTTTTTGGTGTTTAAAAAAATAATATGAGTCGTTCGGATTTCGAGGTAAGTTTTTTTCTTCTGTTTTTTATAAATTTGCAAATTTTCTGTTCAAACACAAGTGATGATTATTTACATTTTAGAAGATCTATTAATGTATGACGATATTTTGAAATTGTTTATAAACAAAAAACATAAAATAACAAAAACTCCTTGTTAATAAGACGAAGTTTCGTTGTGTATTTATCTTTCTGTCGTATTTAAACATGGACTAATGAAAAGTGAAAACGTTTTGCTTGTTTACCTCAATTCGGGGTTGTGTGCGGAAGAAGAATCTTATGACGGGTATTCATATCCAAATATTGCACAATATTCCGTTGCAAGCTGTGTAAATAACCATTCTAAAAAAATAAATAAAAAATTATTAAACATTTTGTTTGATATTTTCTAAGCCAAGCATGTCTTAGCCAACATCTCGTGCATTGTGGTTGACGCCCTTTGCTAAACACACACACACACACTCACAAAACCAATGACATTTTTTTTCGAGGCGAAGTTTAAAGCTAGAATTAAGAATTAATTAATGAACCTGCTGCAGTCAAAGATATTGAGAGGGTATACCTTTGAATGTGGAATCTATGGATTCTGAAAAAGGTGCAATTTTTAAATAGTGATCCTCATTTTTGTTCCTCCACCAAGAAATCCATTTCAATTTCAATACAATTCCTCCCGCTTTTTTTATCCGTCATTTTCGGTTTGTTTTCTTCAAGTCTGGCCGCCGCTTGACCTCTGTGTCAAATGTTGACCACTGCATGACTACTAGATCGCCTCCGACTTAATTGGGGTGTGTTTGCGGCAAACTGCTCTCCAAGTTCTTTTCTATCCATGCTGTTGGTGTTTTCTTCTTCTTCTTGTAGTCCATTTAATTAATAATTCGTATGTGGAACAACAACAAAAACAACGTATTGTTATTTTGTTTATTTTTTGTTTTGTTTGCTTGAATTCCAATAGGGGCTCTCTGTTATGGCTCTGCCGGCTGTGGACAGCGCGCTGTTGTCACATAAACAATAACAGTGTTTGATTAGTGTAACACGTGGTAACGTAACGTAGTCTTGTCAGTGTAATGGGATGTACGTGGTTTATGGGCCTATATATTCATTGGGATTAATTTCTAACATTTAAAATTTTAAAAAATTCGACATTTCCGATTTTTACCCTCACTAATTTGGTGAATATTCAAAATACACTAAATCGTTTGTGACTTTTATGTAGGGGATGTCATGGAGAAGACAAAATAAATAAATACAGACTTCCGGTTGAAAAATTTAACCTTGAATGGTAAATTACTATCAGGAGAAAAGAAATACACTCAGGATGACAAATTAGTCTAGGACTTTGCATGTGGGGCAATGAAGAAACCTCTGGACATACACATATTGATAATGTTCTGTGAAGAAGTTGTTTACAAAACATTTCGGATATCATCAAAAATACCGAAAATTGGGTGTACTATTCGAAGACGCGAATTGATATCAATAATTGTTGAGAGGACAATTGAAAAAGTTTTGACATCCCATGATACACCATAATATCAAATTAGGTGGGTTTTTCAGTCGACCATTCGCCTGAAAAATCAGCAAAATGCCGAATAATTTTCTACCCACCGAAAATTATAAAAATAACAAGGAATTCTGTTGAAAAAAGGGGACCAAAGTTCCAAAAATATCGAAAAGGATGTGTCCAAAATCCCCATACCATTATTTGAGAACTATATCAAAACGTGCATCGATATATCCCATTTTCGATATCAAACATCCTAGGGGCAACAAAAAATATGTGCATAATGTTAAAGCTCTATTTGTAAGTGTGTGCGATCTTAAGAGTTTGTTAATCCACTATTAAGTATGGCGATCGATATTTCTCAACTAGAGGAATCAAACTAGGCTGTTCGTTACTGTTTTCACGAAATTGTGCAGTATTAAAGCCAGATCCTGTAAGAAGAATAGCATTTATTTTTACCGTTTTCGATATTATATCTCAATAGCGCAATCCATTCACCGTAACGTTGATCAAACTAATTTTTCTAATTAGGAACTGACATATGACATATATTCCTTTCCACATGGTTTCATTGACAGCTCCCCATGCGCGACTTCAGTGTATTGTCCCTACCTCCTGCAAGTGCTTTATTTCAGATACACTGTAGTATTCGTCACTTGTAGGTATTGAGAATTGCTCCTGACTCCATTTCCCCAGTAGCACATGGGCGACTTTCAGTTTTTTTCTCCAGAGGGGGATTAACATCAGCCCATTTCGTATGTGACTTAGAAATGTTTTTTTTTTTTTTTAATTCTCGCCGTTGTGGTATTGCTGTTTGACCGATGAAGCGGTTGTAGAAATTGTTTCTTTCGCGGTTGTAGAAATTGTTTCTTCGCGATCTGGAATTGATAAAAAGTCTGGATGCAGAGATCGTTGAACCGGTGACTACCTTTGTGGATAGTCAAATGGCTCTTAAAGCCATCAAATCTTGTTACATCAAATCCGAAGCCGTCCTCAAGTGCAGAGCAGCTCTGTACATTGTGATATCTTGGGTAATGAAAGAGCGGACGAACTAGCTAGACGAGAATCTCAATCAACCAATCAACCGATGACTCAATCAAACCACCCATATGTCTTTTTTATCGGAAATTTGAGGCATTCTTTGACGAAAGAGCCTGTGAACTTTGGCACAACGAACCTAGGTGCAACGTGTCAAGGTCCATTTGGCCGACTCTAACAAAAGAACGCACTCACTGTTGAACCTGAGCAAAGCTGAAATTAGAGTGATGACAGGAGTCATTACTGGTTGATCAGGGCTTTTGCTAGTAAATGGGATCTTGATGCAATTGATTACTGCAGATTCTGCGTTGACGAGGAGGAAACGGACACAATTGAGCATCTCCTGTGTCATTGCCCAGCCCTGGCTTACAGGCGGCACAGACTAATGGGTGCTCATTTTCTACTGAGTCTCAGCATCTTCTCAACAACCGAACCTGCTCTAATCTACGGCATGATTAGAAACATTAAGTGGTTAGGAACATATAACCTTGACATATAACACATCTTCTGTCTGACTCCTAGAACCATCGACCCTCATTCCTTCCTTCATTTAATTATGTATGATTCTCAACTCTCCTTTAATTCCCTAATCTTCTCTCCCCTACGGATCTGTCTTTGTCTCTTCTCTTCACTATATCTCTTCTTGTGGATGATCACAACGGACCTAACCGGTCTCAGAGTGCTGCAGCCACATAAGTGACTGCACATCCCCAAACTTAACCTAACCTTCTTTCCGGTAAATTTTCTCCCTTGGTTAATTCTTCTGATTGATTGCTTCGATTGGAAGATAATCGGCTCCAACATATAACCTATTGCCTCGGTAGCATCAGCGTGCTACTTGCGACTGTGGAATTGTATTTCCTATCTCCGCGAAGACCATTGTCCTTTCCTACCACCTCATCAGAGGTCAAAGAGGGATGTCACCGCAATTGCCGTTGTGCTGACCACAGTTTGTCAAGGGCATACTATGGCAAGTATTTGTCAGCTAAGACTCCGTTCGAATACATTCGGTGCCCTGGATGCAAACCTGGAAGACTTATGGGCACGAAGTCAGCGTTAGGGAGGTCACTTTATATGGTAGTTTCGTCTCGACTAGGGCTTCGTTCCAATACATTCGGTGCCTTGGCTGTAAACCGTGACTTCTGGACACGAAGTTATATAATACCTCAGCGTTAGGTAGGTCACTTTATATGGTAATTTCGCCTCGAAGATTTTGGGATCTTGAGATCTGAGGCTATTCCGCAAAACCTGCGGCCTGTTCGTCTCTTCTTATTTGATTTAGCAGTTTTCTACTATTCGCAACCTGTGGACGAATTCTATAAAATGAAGCTCTGCTCCGTAAACAAAGAGTTGTGATATTTGGGATGTCCTGCTAGGTGAATGCCAGTAGGAACGCAGTTAGTTTGCTAAATTTACATTGACTAAAAAAACATTGCTGAATTGACTTCATATAGAAATATAAATAGTCATGAGTTTTTCTATAGAAAAAGTTTGTAGAACTAATTTTTTTTCTGTAGGAAAAGTTCCCTGATTCTGAACTACTTTTTCAGAAAAACGTCATTGATTTGAATATTTCTATAAAGAACCACTACATCTATAGAGGGGAAAAAATGACTTATATACTCACATTTTCCGCTGAATTGACATTTACTGTAGAAAAATTTTGCTGAATTGAGTTTTTCTATTAAAGAAAAATCAAAAACATTTTTTTATGTAGAAAAAATCCGCTTAATTGACATTTACTATAGCAATATAAAAAATATTCCCGCATAAAAAGTTTGCTGATTGATTTCTTAGAAAAGTTCCCTGAATTGAGTTATTTTTTATCGCAGAATTACAATTTTTTATAGAAAAAATTGCTGAAAGTTTTGATGATATCTGAAGGTCTTCCCCCTATCGAATAACATTAGAAGATCTCTAGGGGATGTCATAACTACAGAAGTCTCGTGGAGTGCCTGTGAAAGGTTTTTTTGCCAAAATAGTCGGGTTTCTTTCTGCTGAATTTTGTAGAAAAAGTTCGCTGAATTGAGTTTTTCAATCGAGAAAGTCCGCCAAATTGAATCAACAGAAGATTTCTGAAGGACTTCCGTCTATGGAAGCACTCATATAAGGCTGTAAAAGAGGGGGTTTTCGCCAAAATAGTTAGCTGAATTGAATATTTCTATAGAAAAAGGTCGCTGAATGGAGTTTTTCAATCAAAAAAGTTCGCTGATTAGAGTTTTTTAGTAGAAAAATTTAACTGAGTTTTTCAATAGAGAAAGTGTGATAAATTAAGTTCTTCTGTAGGCAAAGTCCGTAAAATTACTTATTTCAAAAAGGAAAGTTAGCTGAATTGATTCTTTCGATAGAAAAGTTTCCTGAATTGATTTCTTTTATCGTAGAATAACATTTTTTAGAACAAATTGATAACTTGTGTTGATATTTTTTTTTCTAAAAACAAAATGGCATAAAATATGCATATAAGAGCT